TGATAGAATATACATAATAAAATTAAAATCTAAACAACATAATTTTGACATTTTTCATAAACTAAGAGGAAGTACCTACGTGAATTATACTAATTATTTAATTGCCATATAACTACATTGACCTTATTCACCCCAGTAAATTAGTACACTTCCTTGTTTATATAATCAAATTTAGTGTAAGTTAACTATTAATAAAGATACAGAGAGTTTGTCCTGCATTCAATAAATGTTTTTCCTGCAAATTTGGCAAAAACTTGGCAAATTTGGGCTTTTCCCCATTTTAAATCCCCTGGTCACAAACGCACTTTGACCATTAAAGCTTCATTGACGCTCTAATCAGTTCTAATCAAAGGGATCAAACTATTGAGCTTTAACTTTCAATATATTTAACAGTAAAAATCAAAATAGGACAGCTACATATCAAAATTCAATTTATGTTTATAGTCACAACTCTATTCTTCTTTGAAATTCTTTTGTTAGTAAAGGAATTTTTATAAACAGATCAAAGCCTGGAAATTCAAAGTTATATAACAGAAACATTTAAATATATATTAAAATATTGAACATGTATTATAACATATATCGGGTATAAATTAGAATAACACCATAAAGTTTCATCAAAATATTAAAGTAAGTTCATGAGTGACCTCACCGTAGACTGTATATTAATGTTCATACAATTGTTTGGGATGTATAAATAAAACTGAAATCTTCAACAGAAAAACATGACAATTTGAAAGATGATACAAAATTTGCTTACAGAATTAAATTTCTTAACCATAAATATCTACAAAAATTTTCTTTACCTTTTTGTTAGTTTTAACATGATTATTTCCATCAAATCCACACACTATTCCAATTTATTAAAGAATTTAAAGAAAAGTATCTTAATTCCATTCGAAAATGTTCATTGTTAATATATTCTGACATTGGTGTAATAATAATAATAGTAACTTTAAAGTCCATATATCGGTTATTACAGTGAAAGAATATAAACAATCGAGGAAAACCTACACTTGGCCAACATCCTCAAGTTACTTCCTGCATAAACAAAACAAAGATTAGGTCTAGTACACATTCAAAACAATTGAATATAACTTTTTTATTTATTATATTACTTTAAAGATCCTATTTCAGTGTTAAAATTATCCGCAAAAATAGCCTGTTGGTGGAAATTACTCGGGAATTAACAATATTTTGGGTTTTTCGCGATCGATAGTGCACTGTGAAACAATAACAATAAAACTTGTCAAATTTGTTGGTACTGGGGGAGTAGCTTGGAAAAACCCACATTTGCCAGCGGATTATAGCTTGGAAAAACCCACATTTGCCGAGTTCCGGATAACATCTTTTATATTACATATTTTGAAGTTTTTCATAAATTAACAAATGGTTAGGTCCTAATTAAAAGATGGACAAGTTCACTTAAATATTTAGGGAGGATAGGGTTGTAACTACAGAATATAAGATTTGGCACTTTAAAAATAAACAAAATATTAATCGGGGGGTTTAAACTCAAAGAAACATTATAGCTGCACTTAAAACATCTTGAGACCCTTAAATTAATGAAAACAGCAGTAAATTAGACTGAAGTCATTGCAAAATAACAAGGAGAAAAATATCTAAAGGTCTACTTATCTAATCAAATAATGATACATAAATATCTATAACCTAGTCATATTACTAACTAGTAAGGCACCTGCTATTCTTCTCAACAAAAAAATCTTAAAATGACAACAAAATGCAAATTATCACATTTTCATGGCAGTAATATTATCAAAGATTATCTCTGATTCAAGGGAAGTAATTATAAAAGTGATAATATCAATTTGTAACAGGACATCCGCATTTACTCCCCTTTATTACCAGTAATTGTTTCTTTGATTTTTCAAATTTTCCTGTTTTTCAATATTAAAATAGCTGAAAGCTGAACAGCTAATGAAAAGCTTGAAACTGGTCAAACTCCACAAGCTTTATACTGTTTTCCTAGAAACTTTCACAGAAACAATATTTCAGGTTTCTCATGGATGGCATTTTTGCAGAGACAAATTTTTCACCACAAATTTCGCAAATATCAAGTTGCTGGGGTAAAGAGCATAATATTATATATAACATAAATATCATAATAATGTTTCTGTATTTTGTTCTTTCTATAACTCCCGCAAGACAAGACTAAGGCATACGATATTAACAAAATTTTCTTTAAATTGTACCTATAAACAATCTATAATTATATAATTTTCTCTAATTACCCCTCTTACTTTCAATCAATCAACCAAATTACTTTGACCACCGAAATTTCTACAAACATCCAAATGTCTTCAATTACAAAATCACTAGAATCACATAACCAAGCAAATTTTTACTGTCACTTCCATTACTTCAATTTATCAAATTACCACAACCGCCAGAATTTCTTCATTCACCTAAACTTAATTCACCCAAATGTCATCAACAACTCAAAGTTCTTCAATGACAAAAAATGTTTCCAAAAACCCAGATTATGTTAATCACCCAAATAACTTTGACCATCATACCTATTTCCTCTTTTTGTTTGTTTGTTGGTTGGTTTTTAAGTAGTGCCAACACTGTGTATAGACCATATGGAGACTTTCCAGCTTTACTGGTGGAGGAAGACCTCAGGTGCCATTCTGTGCATTATTTCAGCCACGAATGGGCACCTGAGTAGAACCCCCGCTGTTCAGTAAGCTAGCTTGAAAGCTTCCTCATTTGAATGAATTCACAGTTGACCTGTGGGGATTCAAACCTTAGTGACAGAGGTGAGAGGCAAGTAGTTTGAAATATTTAACAACCTTAACCATGCAACCATAAATTGCAATCATCAGCATCACTTCAATTGCCCACATTGAACTTCTATAGATTTGGTGTACAAATTGATCTTCCATTCTTTATAAAGCTATGTATGATATATTTTATGTCACACTATTGACCTTTTCGAAAACCTAGCTAAACACCGTTTTCTGGTACGTTACCGTTTTAGCTCTGGGGAATTACACCAAATGAAGTACATAACACAGTTACGAGATATGTCTATTTTTCTATCATAATTTAACCGTTTAAGGTGAAATAAATTGATGTTTTTGAAAATTATCAATATTCGTTTAATATCTATTGCAAATTATTCAAATAAACAATTTTTTTAATAATGAAAATCAATAAAATTCAAACAAACAGTGGAATCTTGGATAGTAAATAAGGTTATTTTCTGCGTAAACTTGTTTATTTACTTTCTTTTTTCATGGAATTATTCATACAATGATATTTAATTATTTTCTTATAAAGAATTAAGTGTTTTATTTCAGTTTAGTTTAAAAAAAAGGCCGAAAACATTGACTTCGCTATTACACATGAATTCCCCAGAGCTATGTACAGAAAGTACCGGAAAACGGCGTTTAGCTAGGTTTTCGAATTCGTGAATTAGTTAACTATCAGTGATAAATAGATAATTTATCATAAACATGCCCTAGGCAATCTATATTTATTGATTTTACTTGACCGAGAGATGATACCTTAGTATATGAAAACTTAAGCTTTAATATCACTGTAATGAACGCTATTGGGATTATTAAATACTTCAGTACCTCTAATTGTCACTGACTGATGGATGTTTAACATGCAGCAAATTACTAAAATTCCTATATTTTAATGATCTATATTGATCGATGATTTGCTATGTACTTATATATGCTATGTACTTAAATCAGTTTATAATGACCAATACTTTTCTTACCTGATGTAAAATGTTAGGCTATAATTTTTTTTTCATCTGGTATAAAATACACTAATTTCTATTTGGTTTACTCTCTACAACTATTTCAAACCAGATTATTTTTTTGAATTTTTTTTATAATTTAGGTCTGACTATTTACTGGTGATTTTTTTGTCAAAGTCTTTGGTTTATACAGAATTTATTTTAGTAAGAATTGTGTAGGAAGCTATTAGCCTATAGACACACTTTCAAAACCGTTCCTGGAACCAACCAGTACTGGGCCGAATGAGTGTAAAGTTTCTTGCTCAAGGAAACAATGAAAGTCTTTCACTTTCAATTCTGTGTTTAAACAAACAAAAAGATATCTTAAGACTAGACAGTTGATTATATGGATTTCTAGCTTTTCAAACAAATGTGTTGGTTATCTATTTAATTTTCTATCTTTAATTTAAGATTAAGTCATCTTTTAACCCTTATTCTGCCTACAACTTCCATGTATAATTCATTTGCAGTTTGTTGTAATATATGTTTAAATTAATATATGTTTATTTAGGTTCAGTGGAGTGATATATGAGGATAAATTACCTGCCAAGATTTTATATCACCAGACCCCTTAGGCGTGGGTGATGTTTTATCAAAGCAGGTTATATATCCACATATATCACTCCAAATCCCAAATGATAATTTTATTACACTTTCCTGGCGAGTAAGACAATTTTGAAATTAAATCATTGCTGTATCAAATGAAATGTCGAAGTATGATTCCTAAAATCTATGGTCCCCCTTCACCGAAAATGATGTCAACATAACCTAATGAATGTAAACAAGAGAAAAGGAGTATTCTGTTGAAGACACTTTTTCGTAATTAGGCCTAATATCAAGCTTTGACGAGGTCATAATTGTTTTAAATACTGATGAGAATACCTATCTGATGAGAATACTCTATTTTGGTTAATATTTTTTATTTGAAAGTTAAAAAGTGTTTGTATATCGGAATTTATACTGCGCAACATTGAATGGTATGTGCATCTTGTTTACCACCTTGGGTACCTCAAGTGGAAATTTAATGTGTATATAGCCTTTCTGATTCAGTTATATAATAATTTCTTTCGGCAGATCAATATCCAATCAAAATGGGGCAAAAAATCTGGAAGGTTAATAATGTCTATTATTTGTGTAATTATTCATTGTGTTACAGACCTTCCATTATAGATCAAGTCAATAAATCAAATAGAATACACTATATTATACTATATAATAATTATGTTACCTGTTAGCCTCCTCTAGTTTTGCTATCAGTTCAAGCTCTGTAGGATTGGTAGTTGTCACAGACGAGGGACTTAGCGCTATTTGCCTGAAATTATACACACAAAAATTCAAAATTTCAAGTACTAATAAAAACAAATTTCAAAGCACTTTTCTGGAAATTTTCCTCTTTTGCATAATTTATTCTTGTGTGTTTTAAAGGAAGGAACTCCACTATAATTATGAAATTTGAATATCTTACATAAGATTTACTCCAGGGCACACTGAAAACAGAAAAAATTAGCAAAGTATAATTAAGAAATATTTTTTTATTGCACTGAAGGTCATAGTTTGTGCTATCTTTTGCAGGATTTGCAACGCTCATTCAGTAAAGCGTACAATATAACTTAAAAAGAAATAAAAGCAGAAATTTGCTAATATTTAACTTTTGTAATTAGTCTGAAAGTTTGATTTTTAAAACATTTTTGCTTCACTAAAATATATGATTTTACAACAAATCAACACACCTATTTGCTTCTTCTAATTTTGCCAGAAGTTCCAAATCAGAGGGCTGGGGAACATCCGTTCCTTCTTTTTCCTTTTCCTCATCACATGTACTTGTTCCTGCTGTTTCCTGTTTTGACTGGTTCCCATTTGTGCAAGATGAGTCAGCATTTTTCGCAGACTGGTCCTCACTTTCCTTGTTAGGTGGGTGGGGTATATTGGTTTTAGTGGTGGCAGACTTTTCACAGTCTGCCTTCTCCACTTCAGACATTATCTGGAACCTTGTATCACATCATATCATATTGACGACTTTAACCTGAAATATTATAAAATCAACCGTTATATCATAAAGTCTAATTTAATGTACATTTTAGAGTACACCTTTTTTAGATGAATTATGAGTTGGGACACTGGAGTTACTGGCCTGAAAATGCCACAAGAAAAGCAATTTAAAAGTATAAATGAAACTGTAAATTACTTTTCAAAATAAAATGAAAGATGTTAACAGTTATACATATATTACAAATGAAAAAATCATATCATTAAATATTTAATTTGAAATGTGCTTCAAAATCTTTACATGAGTTACTACTGCAAGGTTTTTCTCAGCGATTTTGGGAGCATGACCCATACCCATGGAAATGGGAATTTCAGCGATGTTTTGTTAAAAATTGGGAAAAAAGCATTACTTAGATTTTGCAGTTTTATTTTCAAAAAATTAGAATTTGTTATTCAATATTTTCATTTTGTAACTTTCAAATGGGAATTTTTTCCCGTGGATTGGGAAAATAATATACTATTTTTAATTGGGAATATGACTGAATAACGGATATAAAATAAGCCCCAAAAAATCCCTGACTAGATACATGTACATCAGGGCTTCCACTAAGTTCCAAAATTTGGAAGTCAGACACTGCAAAAATCTCTGATATTGGAAGTCACATTATATAGGTAAAGAAGGAAAAGTATTAGATTTTGGACAGTACATGTATATTAATTAAACTATCTTTGATAAATTTGCAGCAGTAGATGATTTTTAAATTACAATATATTAAATCATTATAAATACAAGGTTTATTTGGGATTTTAGTTTGTATAATTTTGCACTATACCTCTAATAATATTTAATCGTTGAAATTTATTATTTATTGTTGAAATTTGGTGCATGATTATAATTATGTCTTAAAATAGAAAATAAGCGATATCCCTTATTTAAGTCTAAATGCCCATAACAGCAAAATTGGAAAATGGGATCTAATTTTATTTTTCATTAATTTTCTTCCTTGTGTTTAGTACTGCAAAACTGCATTATAAATCAAAAGTATATAGTGCATATGATAAAACACAATTAGCCTTTGTCAATCTGACATATACCTTTTGAAATATAACAGTAAAATATAATCAATAACCTGAAAAAATGACTTTACTTCATACATTTACCCTGCTAAATTTTTTAATGGATTTGACTTGCTTTGGATTTATAACAGATCTTTCGAAGTTAAAGGGATTTTAATACCAAAATATTAAAAAAACACAACTAAAAGAAGACACAACAACCAGGTAAAACTACAAGTAGACACAACTACCTGGTAAAACTACAAGTAGACATAACTACCAGGTAAAACTATAAGTAGACACAACAACCAGGTAAAACTACAAGTAGACACAACTACCAGGTAAAACTACAAGTAGACACAACAACCAGGTAAAACTACAAGTAGACATAACAAACAGGTAAAACTACAAGTAGACATAACAAACAGGTAAAACTACAAGTAGACACAACAAACAGGTAAAACTACAAGTAGATACAACAATGAGGTAAAACTACAAGTAGACAGAACAACCCAGTAAAACTACAAGTAATCACACAACTACCTTAGGTAAAACTCAAGTAGGCAAAACAACCAGGTAAACAACAAGTAGACAAACCTACTATGTAAAACTACTAGTTAAAACAACTACCAATTTAACTAGTTGAGACACAACCTAAAATTAAAGCAAATTAGACTGTTCCATGTTTCAAGGCAGGATAATTTAAGTCTATCTGTACAAATGTTAGGGGTGAATTAGATTATGTACAGTCATTACATCCTGTTATAACAGTTTTGTCAAGACACGAAAACAATATCTTCCTTGTATTAAAAGATAAAAACAAACCACAACAAAACTAATTGTATCAATCCAACAGGACATAAAATAGGAGTACAAATAAATAAAACACCTGGCCCAGAAGCAACTTTTTGAGATTACCTGAGTTAAATGTAACTTCTAATTCAGGAAAACAATTTGTCAGATATCAATGATAAATGTACATCAGGAAATAAATTAGATAATACTTTATTAACTTCGGTCAATTTAAGGTGATCCATTGTCTGGTATGTTTGAAAAAAAAATTGGCATGAGACAACTCTACCATAAGTATGGAATAGACATTTAGTGTTCTTTTTTGAAGAATTTTTTATTCTAGCTCCAGATTACAAAGTGAATTTTTTCAGCAATATAGTGACTTTCTTGCTTTATTGACTGATGAAGACCTCAGGAACTCAACCCAGCACCTGACTGGAACTACAGATTATTTTCTTTCTGAATCTAAGCTTGCAGGATAACTTTCTCACAATGCCCGTGGACATGAAATAATTCAAAGCAGCAGAAGGATTTAAACCCACAAACAAATGGTGAAAATATGATGAAATCACATATATATTTCAAAGTAATAAAAACTTGCAAATAGTTTAGCCAATTTAAGAGTATATTCAAATAATTTAAAATGTTATAACTTGTACATATTTATATGATACAAAAATCTTAGTTAAAAGGTCTTTAGGATTCTAAACAAATCTTCACAAGACAAATCAACTTACCATTACAAATGAATTGCTTTAATGAAACACTAGCCTGATTGTTACATCCATGTCACTCCTAGAAAATAAAAACACACAAAATTTAGAATAAATTTCTTAACCCCTACCTTCCTGGGAACAAAATTAATTAGTTTAATTCATGTGCAGTCTAACCAAGCTCTCTGGCACATCCTACACATATGTGCAGTCTCACCTGGATTTGCTCTCTGGCACATCCTGCTCATATGTGCAGTCTAACCAAGCTCTCTGGCTCATCCTACACATATGTACAGTTTATTGACCAAGCTCTCTAACTCATCTTGTACATATGTGCAGTCTAACCAAGCTCTCTGGCACATCCTACACATATGTGCAGTCTAACCTGGATTTGCTCTCTGGCACATCCTGCACATACGTGCAGTCTAACCGAGCTCTCTGGCTCATTCTACACATATGTACAGTTTATTGACCAAGCTCTCTAACTCATCTTGTACATATGTGCAGTCTAACCAAGCTCTCTGGCACATCCTACACATATGTGAAGTCTTACTAAGCTCTCTGGCTCATCCTACACATGTGAAGCCTTACCAAGCTCTCTGGCTCATCCTACACATATGTACAGTTTATTGACCAAGCTCTCTAACTCATCTTGTACATATGTGCAGTCTAACCAAGCTCTCTGGCTCATCCTACACATATGTGCAGTCTAACCAAGCTCTCTGGCACATCCTACACATATGTACAGTCTAACCAAGCTCTCTGGCACATCCGACACGCAGTCTAATCAAGCTCTCTGGCTCATCCTGCACATATGTACAGTCTGACCAAGCTCTCTGGCTCATACTTCACATATGTGCAGTCTAACCAAGCTCTCTGGCACATCCTACACATATGTGCAGCAGAGCTGGGGTAATCATTAATTGTAATCATTGATTTTTTAATTGATTACATGATTACACTGTAATCATCATGTAATTGATTACCTAGCCCAAAATTGATTAATGTAATTGTAATTAATCAATTACAGCTAAAATTTTGTCAGTAATCATGATTACAATTTGATTGACATTGATTACTTTCAGTTTAACAGAAAACTATTTTAATTCAAATGATGCCATTATTTTACATGATACAGTGTAACTTTTGTTTTACATTTATACAGTAAAAGCCCTTAATTAAGACCATCATCTGGGCTGGACCAACATTGTCTTAATTTAGAACATTCTTATCATTGCTTATACTTTATGACAATGGTCTGTTTTAGTCATTTTGTTTGAAAAAATAAACAACAGTATATATCTTAAGCTACAAGCGTAATATGAACACTATAAAAGTATGTTTTGATATCTGATGAGATGAAAACATATAATGATATTTCTGAAAAAAATTTAACTTAAAATTCTCTTTGGTCAGATTTCAATATCAATTATTATATGATGTACATAAATCACCTATCAAATAAAAATTAATTCTTCACAAAAAAATAAATTTGCTAGAAGCAACATTAAACCACTCTAAAATTTACCTTCTCACCTTATTTCATACAATAACCCAATAATAACAGTTTTTCACACGTTGTGAAATTAAGTGTCATGCAAAGCATTCAAGCAGATAATAACAACAAATTTAAGATCTAGATAGGTGTTGATTTTAATATCAGTGGTCTCAATAGATGAGTCAAATTAAGAATTAAGCAAAGAATTTGGACTGAATTAGGTAGTCTTAAAAGTGGATAAGCGGTTGTTCTTAATTCTGGATCATGTAACAACCCCTGCGAGAATTCCATGAATAATTCATGAACTGTTCATGAATATATTCATGGACAAGTTCATGAATGTGCATGAACAACAAATGAGACTTTTTTTAGTTCACAGACAATTCATGAATCAAGATATTCATGAACATGTTCATGAATATATGTTCATGAATATATCGATTCATGAATTGTCCATGAAAGAAAAAAAGTCTCATTTGTTGTTCATGCACATTCATGAACTTGTTCAAATGTACATTCATGAAATTGTTCATGAATATGTTCATGAACAATTCAAAAACTTCTCCCAGGGGTCATAATAATGTGACATCACAATCAATTTTCATTTAATTCTAAGACTGCTGATTTGTACCAGCCATAAAATGCACAATAGACAGTGTTTTAGTACAAATACAAAACACAAAAGCCCATTACACAGGTAATGAAACTTGTTTAAACACTGTGCTCATTGATTCCCTATGTACAAATTGAATTGTCATTAGAATTCACGACTTGCCAGTTTGCTCTTCAATTTATTTCTTTGACACAATTTTCCATAAGATTTTATATAGTCCATTATGTAAATACATCACTTTTTCTTCATTTTGCTAAGTCATTGTTATTTATTCCATTTTTAAGTAAGTTTGCACCGAAAGTTTGTTAAAAACACATGTAGAGCTTTGTTTCTGGCGGCCATGTTGACTTTTGCATTATGGGTGTTACCAAGGTCAGCCAACTCTTGTTGATGATCAGTGAGTTCATGAACTCACGAGAGTTCATGAACTGAAATTTTTCAGTTCATGAGTTCATGAACTGAAATTTTTTCTAACACTAAAAAGTATTCACATGGGTTAAAATTGTAAAGACAAATTTGTTTTTAAAGTTCATGATTATTGTCAGCTTGTTCATGAACATACCAAAATGTTCATGAACAGAGCAAGAATGATGCCAAAATGTTCATGAACACATCAACATGATCGTGAACAGACATACATATTCATGAACTTGAATGTTCATGAATATTTGTTCATGAACATTTCTGCCAAGATGATGAACAATTGAAAGATGTTCATGAATATTCATGAACTGTTCATGAAAATTCATGAATTGATGAACATGCTTTCGCAGGGGAATTGACACAAAGAACCTTGTAAAAAAATAGTCTTATTAAGGGGGTGGTCTTAATTCAGGTATGGTCATTAGTAGGGATTCTACTTCACATTGAATGTAATCAAATATCAATCAATTACTCTCTTAGAGTAATTGTAATTCAATTGATTACAGAGGTAAGTCTGAGTAATCAATAGTAATCAATTACAATAAAATCAGAAAGTAATTGTAATTAAATCAATTACTGATCAATGTAATCATCCCCAGGTCTGATGTGCAGTCTAACCAAGCTCTCTGGTCATCCTACACTTATGTGAAGTCTAACTAAGCTCTCTGGTTCATCCTGCACATATGTGAAATCTAACTAAGCTCTCTGGTTCATCCTACACATATGTGAAGTCTAACTAAGCTCTCTGGTTTATCCTACACAAATGTGAAGTCTAACTAAGCTCTCTGGTCCATCCTGCACATATGTGCAGTCTAACCAAGCTCTCTGGTTCATCCTACACATATGTGAAGTCTAACTAAGCTCTCTGGTTCATCCTACACATATGTGAAGTCTAACTAAGCTCTCTGGCTCATCCTACACATATGTGAAGTCTAACCAAGCTCTCTGGCTCATCCTACACATATGTGAAGTCTAACTAAGCTCTCTGGCTCATCCTACAAACATGTGCAGTCTAACCAAGCTCTCTGGTTCATCTTACACATATGTGAAGTCTAACTAAGCTCTCTGGCTCATCCTACACATATGTGAAGTCTAACTAAGCTCTTTGGTTCATCCTGCACATATGTACAGTCTGACTAAGCTCTCTGGCTCATCCTGCACATATGTGAAATCTAACTAAGCTCTCTGGCTCATCCTACACATATGTGCAGTCTAACTAAGCTCTCTGGCTCATCCTACACATATGTGAAATCTAACTAAGCTCTCTGGCTCATCCTACACTTATGTGAAGTCTAACCAAGCTCTCTGGCTCATCCTGCACATATGTGCAGTCTTACTAAGCTCTCTGGCTCATCCTACACATATGTGAAGTCTAACTAAGCTCTCTGGCTCATCCTACAAACATGGGCAGTCTAACCAAGCTCTCTTGCTCATCCTACAAACATGCGCAGTCTAACCAAGCTCTCTTGCTCATCCTACACATATGTGCAGTCTAACCAAGCTCTCTGGCTCATCTTACACATATGTGCAGTCTAAACAAGCTCTATGACACATCATACACATATATGAACTCTCACCAAGCTCTCTGGCTCATTCTACACATATGTGTAGTCTCACCAAGTTCCCTGGCTTATCCTACACATATGTGCAGTCTAATCAAGCTCTCTGGCTTATCCTACAGTACACATATATGCAGTCTAATCAAGCTCTCTGGCTCATCCTTCACATATGAGCAGTCTGACTTGGCTCTCTGGCTCATTCTACACATATGTAAAGTTTTACTAAGCTCTCTGGCTCTTCCTTCATATATGTGCAGTCTAATCAAGCTCTCTGGCACCTCCTGTACATATATGCAGTCTTAGACCATGATCTCTGGGTCATCCTGTATATATGTGCTGTCTGACAAAGCTTTATTATAACTGTTATATGGTAGCTCAATTTAACATATCTAAACCCTGATAATTAAAATCCCGTAAATCCTTTGTTTGACAAAGCTGGGCAAACCAATAACACAAATTTAGCAGCTCACTATGTTACAAAACTAATGTTTGTTTTATAATTCTAAAATTAACACTGTTCAAATGGAAGAAAAAAACAACATACACCAAAATAATTAACCACATAAAAGAAAACACATCAAATAAACATAGCATTTAGAACTTCACCATCCTAACAGTTTATAACTTTTTTATAAGAAATTTCAGTTACTTTCTATTTTATTTTTCTATCCCATAGCAAATTTTCACCTCTGACTCACTGAATGTATACAAAATACAGTAACCACTATAAATACAAAATAAACTGCTGTATTATGAGTAGTACAGTGGTAAAATTCCCACACCCAGTACAGCATATAATTAGAACAACTCATTTCATATTCATTGCTTGTTACAGCCTGCTCATAATAATTACTTCAAATTGCTTAAATATCTGTATACATACATATCATTTCTCTTTTAACACATATCGACTTTGTTACAGAATTACTTGAACATTATTTAAGCCAAATCAGTGTATGATACATTAATAAACAAGATATGTTTGTAAA